TCCTCTCCCCGCCCGGACCGGGGCCTGCCCGGTCCCTCCCTCCTGCAGTCCGTGCCTGCTGAGGCACAACTGGAATTAAACCGCCACCGTTCATTCTTTAATTGTCATCCAAGTGCTTATTATCCTTTGCCACGGGCACCCCTGTTGCTGTCCAGCTCGGTTCGGGTGCCCTGCTCCAGCAGGGCCTGGCAGCGCGGCCTCACAAGGAGCCTGGTGGGCCTGGGGAGGGGGGGATAGGCTCTTAAATTGCTCTGAGGAACCAGTCCGTGGCCCCGGCACTGCCGCGTACCCCTTGGGCGACAAGCGACTCGCTTCGCTTGATGCCGGCTCCTTGGCCAGCCCTTCCAGCAGAGTCTGGGTGCAAAGGTACCCGGCGGCTCGCTGATCCCGAAATCCCCGCTGGACTGCTGCTTGTCTGGAAGGAGATGCATCCTTTGGGAGTCAGGGACCGACGGCGCAGCGCTGAGCACCTGTTGTAGAGGCTTCCGCAAAGGGGAGCGTGCATCGCAGCCCTGGTCTAAATCCGTTGTGCATGAAGTTTTGTGCTTTGAATCTTCTACTCTATCCGGTAAATAAGTACCAACTGATGAACTTCTCAGAGATGTCCTCCCTGACACCGAAGCGCTAACCTGCTGTGATCCGGCAGCAGAGGAAGTATAGACGGGTTTCAGTTTCTGTAGCCGAACACATCAGCTGTAGCTCAGTCCCCTCAACCGTTCCACCTGCGGCACAGCCTGCTTCTGCATGTGCACAGAAAACCTCAAAACCAAACCTACAGCTGTCATCAGTTAACGAGCATTTCATGTCAAACCCTGCGCTGGAACAATCATGGAGGTATGGACCCCTCCTGCGGGGATTACTCACAGCAGCAGGTCGAACGTGCCCGAGCCTGGCAGGAGGACTGCATCTGCAGGCAGCGGCGGGAGGTCTGGAGAGGAGAAAGTTTTGTTCTGTTCTTCCTCTGACCCCACAGGAGCTGGTTCTCCAGCAGCGCTGGGCTCTTGGCTTGCCAACTGCAGGGTGGAAAGAAGTGTGAGCAGGCCCTGGGCATGGTCCCCAGCCGTGCCCACCCCTCAGCAGGTATAAACGTCTCTAACTCCTGCCATCTGGTTCTAGCTGTGCCATGACTCCGTGCCTTGGATGCCTGTAGAGGGACTGCCCTCATGCCAAGGGAAAATGAGATCAGGAGTGCAATCTCTGCTACAGCATCGTTAAGCCTTGCTGTAGCCCCTGGCGAGGAACAAGCGGGCTGGACTTGGCGTCTCTCCAGGAGGAGAAGATGCTGCAGTTTAGGAGAGTTTTCTGCAGATGCACAGAAGCATGGAAGAGCATTGGGATTTTTTTATTTTCCCTCTCTGTGCATCCTTCATCCTGGAAAAGAGGATTTCTAGTGAAGCCGTTAAGCCCAACGTGAACAAGGTCATCTGGCAGATTGGAACACCAAAATACCCCAGGGCAAGTAGAGGTCTGCTCTGAAAGACAAAGCCACCGAGAGCCTGCGTGAGCCCTAGAGCTGGTTCCTCTGCCCCAGCAGTGCTGGCGAGCAGGGCCAGGTTCCCAGGACAGTAGGGCCCTGGCCTCGAGGCGAGGTGCTGCGATGGCACCAGGAAACCCGACTGTTCACAGCCTGACTCCTGGGAGAGAGGTGGTCTTCCACAAGTCCTGCTGGCTCCTTATCTCACCATCTCCTTTTTCTCCCATCCTAGTTTGTCGCCCAGCTGCTGGGGTTCCTGATCAGCGTGGTCAGCTCCATCTTCTGTGGTCACTTGGGGAAAGCTGAGCTGGATGCTGTGACGCTGGCTGTGTCCGTACGTATAACTCTGATTCCCCTCTGATTTAAAACACACAAATTAGGTGTCACCGAAAAAAGAAGGGAAAAAAAAAAACAAAACCTGTAGGCATGTATTTGTGAGGACCCCATGCATAAGCACGGCCTGATGCAACACAAACGTCGCATCCACCAAACCATTCATTCTTTTGCCCTGAGCACAGGCAGGATGGGAACTGAGCAGTCGGAGACCGTGCCACTGCACCTGGGCAGGGTGCTGGAGCCTGTGGCCGGCTCTCTGGACCCACCAGACCTAGGTGTGCGTGCATGGCTAGGAGCAGCACTGTGTGTGGTCCTTTAGATATTCACCCCTTGCTAGAGGATCCTTTTCCACACCAGAGGGGAGAAGAGGCTATTTAGGTAACAAGAATGTGTTATTCTGAGAAATAGAGAAGGGCTGGAAACTTCCCAAAAAACTCATAGTGGAACTGTCTCCCCACCCAGCTGGGAGTACACAGTGCTTTGGGCCAGGTCCCCTGTCACCCTCCCTTGCAACCCAAGTCCTTTGTCTCTCCTCTTCTCAGGTTATCAACGTGACTGGCATCTCCATCGGTTCTGGTTTAGCCTCAGCATGTGACACGCTGATGTCCCAGGTCAGTAGCAGCTCCCCCTTTCTTGTGCCTGGCGGGGTTCGGTTGGTGATGTCTCGCCTCCTGTGCAGCGTGATCTGGGCACAAAGGGAGGGAGGATGGCAGCTTCCAGCCAGCATGGGGATGCAGATGCACTGGCTGGAGCCTACTCCCTCCCTGCAGTTCCCCCAAGGAGCCCTGGGTCATCCCTGGCTAGCAAAGGGATGTGCAGTCCGCCTGAGAGCCAGTTAATACCTCGACAGCCCGGCGTTAGCCACTGCAGGGTGTGGGAAGTGCATTTACCCAGCCCGTTGCTGCCCTGGGTCCTCAGCATCTGCCCAGACCGTTTGGTTCCCTGTACCGCTCACCTTGGTCTTCTCTCCTGACTCAGACATATGGCGGCAAGAACCTGAAGCAGGTGGGCACCATCCTGCAGCGCGGGATCCTCATCCTGCTGCTGTGCTGCTTCCCTTGCTGGGCACTCTTCATCAACACTGAGCGGATCCTCCTGCTCATCCGACAGGACCCCGAGGTCTCCAGGTCAGGGATGAGATGGACCCCTTCTGGATCGGGCATTTGGCTGTGGGTGGGTTGCCATGTAGTGTTGAAATCAAGGCTCTGTGGAGCTTGAGTGCAACGCTGCTTGGCTTGGCTCTTGCTTTGCTGTATCATTAACTGGGGAAAACAACTCTCTTTCCAGGTTAACTCAGGTCTATGTGATGATCTTTATTCCAGCGCTTCCTGTAAGTTGCTGCTAAAGCTGTGAGAAGCTCTGTGTCCCTCAGTAACATTAGGGGAAAGGAGGGAGGGTCTTTGCTGTGTGGATCGCAGGGCAGCATGGTGTAGGGTTTTACAATGTGCCCCTTGATCCTGAGCCTTAACAGATGTGTATTGGCCAGCAGCTGCTGGACCAGCAAACATGCAGTCTTTCACCTTACTGTGCAAAGGCTTTTACTGCAGGCCACGTCTCCGTACAACACGTAACTGGCGATGGACATTGGAACCGGGGGCTCCTGGGCTCATTCGTAGCTCTGAGATAAAGGCTGCAGCTTGCTGTTCACACACACTCATAGCTGCTGGGCTCTTGGCTAGTTCCTCCCACTCCTCTAAGACAGGGAGCAGTACCCCTGGGGAATAAGGGTTTGTAGGTTAATCCTTTCCTCCAAGGTTTCCAGGCTGTCTTGTGCTGATGAGAAAGTGTGGGATACTTCCAATTTGGAGACTGATTTCTCTTCCCAGTGGGAATGGGAGGTACCTTTTGTTACTCTTGGCTTTGGGTGCAGCCAGTGCTGGCAGATGCCGTGCTTCAACCAGAGGACAGGAGCACGGTGTTGGGTAGCGTGCCTGGCTGGGGCACCCCGAGAAGGTGGTCTGGGGAGCTGAGGGAAGGACGTATCTGTGGGAGTTAAATGGTAGCTGGCTGTTGAACTATAGTGCGGCGGTGCTGATGAAATGAATCCTGACTTTTGCAGGCGGCGTTTCTGTACCAGCTGCAGACAAGATATTTACTAAGTCAGGTATTGTATAACTAGCCAGGTTCTGGACCATAGATTAAAGGTATTCCTAGGAACATGGATGAAGTTTGGGATCTAAGTTCATCCTGTTCTGGGGAGAGCTGGGCTGAGGAATGTGCGATGCACAGCTCCCCCCAGCCAGCCCTGCAGGGCAGGGAGAGCTCATGGGAACCACCCTTAGTTTGCTCCGTTTCCCCATTGCTACCTCCCAACTCTGCGTTTTACTGATTGCAGCAGCTCTTGAGTCCTGCATGCTACCTTCTGCATGTCTAACACAATCCAGCTTTACCTGAAACAGGAGCTGCCGCCTTGGCTTTCTCCTTGGGCATTGCTGAAGGTCTCCCCTGGGTTTGCTGGATGGGGCTCGGGGAGTGCTGGGGAAACAAACTCCAAAGTCCCTCCTTGGCTTCCAGGCAATCATTCTGCCTCAAGTCTTGACGGGGATTGCAGCCAACGTCCTCAACGTGGCCATGAACGCCTTCTTCCTTTATGCGCTGAAGCTGGGCATGGTGTAAGTGTGAGCAGAGATGGTGACGGCCTCTCCCTGGGTGCAGGGGTTTGCTCAGGGCTGTGGGGGGGTGTCCTGGGTGCCACCCTTTGCCCCCAGCCAACCAGCCTGCAAAGGTAAGGCTGGAGGGACCTGCCCCATATCTGCAGCAAGGCTTGTGTGGGTGCCACCAGGTCTCTCCTGCTGCAGCTGGGGAGGATGTCATTTGTAATCTGCCTGTCTCTTTCCCCAGGGGCTCTGCCTGGGCTAACACTGTTTCTCAGTACACCCAGGCCATTCTCCTCTTCCTTTATGTGTGGTGGAAGAAGATCCATGTGGAGACCTGGGGAGGTACTGTTCATGGCTTAATCCTTCAAAATACGAGTGTCTGGCCCTGGGGATTTGGCCCTGTCACCAGCACCTGACAAAGGGATTACCACCCCCTCATGACAGCAAGATGCTGTAGCCATGTTCTCCAGGCATTTACTGTAGCTCCAAGTACGTGCTTCTTGATCATCCTGTCTCGGGAATGCAGCATGGTACAGCAGCAAGACTAGGTTGATGTCCTGTGAAGCTGTGGTGGTGATTGTCCTCAGAGTGTCCAGAAGAGCATATGGTTCCCTTTTTGGGGGAGGAGAGAGATAACATGCATTCATTTTGCTTTACCTTCTCATTGCAGGTTGGACCAGGGACTGCCTCCTGGACTGGGGCTCCTTTATCCGGCTGGCGGTGCCTGGCATGCTCATGATGTGTATTGAATGGTGGACCTTTGAGATCGGGAGCTTCTTGGCAGGTGAGTCCAAATCCTTTTTCCCTCTGGTTCAACAGGTCACCTTCCAGCCATGCCTGCTCTTGTGGCTGCCTCTTGAGTGTGATCCCAGAGCAACCTCACCTGCAGGGTTTGTTCTGCAGGATGCTCCGTCTGTTAGATGGGAACCCTGTAGTCACTGCCTCCTTGTCAGCAAAGGAGGGGTTTAATTCTGACCTAACGAAGGAAGTGATGAATCTTTTCCAGGGCTGCTCAGTGTGGTGGAGCTGGGTGCGCAGTCGGTCATCTATGAGCTCTCCTCTGCCGCATACATGGTAAGGGCTGGGTGTATTAAACCAAGATTGGCCTGGGAGGAGCCCCCAAACAATGGCCCTGCCGATCAAGGCTGGGGAGGGAAGCAGGAGTTGGTACCAAGCAGGTGATGACTCTCGGGGCTGCTGTACAGCTGCATGTCAGGGGTGTGCTGCAGATGGAAAATCCCCTTCCTGCAGCAATGCCAATTTGCCCCAAATTCCCTACTGGGGAAAAAGAAAATTGCCGCAGGCTTGGTGGTTGCCACTCACCTCCTTGTCTCCTGCTACTCAGGTGCCTCTGGGCTTCAGCGTGGCTGCAAGTGTCAGAGTGGGCAATGCCTTGGGATCGGGGGATGTGGTGCAAGCCAAGACCTCCTGCATCACTGCCCTGCTGTGCACAGGTCAGCCCAGGTCCCACAGAGCGGAAGAGAGGGTGATTTATGAGCAAATGGTTCAGTTCCCCTCTCACAGGGCTGGGGACCCCCCCTAGGAACCCAGACCCCCTTCTTTGGACCCTCTGTTTGGGGAAGGTGAGACCCTGGCTTCTCTTTTCTGTTAGGAACCTGGCGCAAAGGCTTTGATAGTTAAAAATGTAATTTAGCGTTCTGTCTTCCACCTCCAGAAGGTAGAGGGAGTATCTGGGGAGAAAGTGAGGCAAACAGACTTGTCCTCTACTGCAGTATCACCTGCAGGTCAGTCAAGTCCAGTGCCCATCACGTGGAGCCCCTGAGGTCTGGGCCTGGGTCAGGAGCAGGACATGCTGCCCTTGAGGCAAACAATTTGATTATTTCTTTTTCTCTTTCTTTCAGAAGTTTTTGCTGTGGTGGTTGCAACATTACTGGGAACCCTGAAGGATGTAGTGGGATACATCTTCACCAATGACAGGTGGGTTAACAGCCTTCTTTCGAGTATTATTACCTTCTTGGAGGGTGTGATTTATATCGCAGGAGCTGCTCAGAAGCTGCTGACAGATAGAGTTCATAAACCTCCATCTGGCAAACATGTTGCCCAAAGGTTCCTCCCCACTGCCCGGTGTCACGAGGCAGCAGAGGTGCTTCTGACACTGGGACACTACCATGGTGGTACCTAAGCTGCACTCATCCCCTCAGGTCTCACGGGCTGGGATCAGGCTTTGCAGCTGGCCCAGGGAGACGTGTCAGACCCAGAGTCCCTTGGGACCAGCTTTTCCCTGATCAGTACGTAACTCTTCCCAACAGGGAGATCGTTATCTTGGTGTCCAAAGTGATGATCATCTTTGCTCCATTCCACTTGTTTGATGCAGCAGCAGTGAGTATTCCAGCATGTGGAGTGATGCCTCTGTGCAGGTTGGGGTGTGATGGAGAGTGCGAAGCTGCCTTTAGCTCACTCTTGACCTGTTAAAATGATGCAGAGAAGCAAACTGATAAACTGTCAAAGGAGCTGCTCACATTACCTGTAGCACCTCAGTATCCCCTGTGCTTGCAGTTGCCTACATTTTGCACTGCTGCAGACAACCCGGTTCTTTTTCCCTCTTTTCCCCTGGTAAGGCTTCAGCTTTATACTAGCTCGTCAGAGCAACACAAGTGAGCAGCTGGATCCTCAGAGATACCAGGTACTCCCAGCGCAGTGGCACTGCTCGTACAACTTGTTAGATAGTAATTTCAGCCTGTTTCTTCCTGTCATCTCCCTGGGAGAGGGACCCAGGCAGTGTGGAAAGCACTATGGGGTCCGCTGGCGTGCCCCTCGGTGTCTGCAGACAGCTCCACGTTCTGTGCCTGGGCAGGCAGCTGGAAGGAGACGAGCCCTGCACCATCGGCTCTGTCATGTGGCTCTGGTCCCTCTTGGCTTTGCGGGACAGTGCTGTGGGTTCCCCTCTTCACAGGGCTGTGCCACATCCTGGCGCTCCTGTAGCAATACCTTCCATGGCACATGCTGTCCTGTGTGTTGATTCCTCTGCTCGCTTTCCTTAGGCGACCTGCGGCGGTGTGCTGCGGGGCACAGGGAAGCAGAAGATGGGTGCTATCGCCAACGCCATCGGCTATTACGCCATCGGCCTGCCCATCGGCATCTCGCTGATGTTTGCAGCTAAGATGGGGGTGTTAGGTACGTGTGTCCTCCACTTGACAGTGTATGAGCTGCCAGCACTGCTTCTGCCGGGCCCAAACCCTGTGCTTTGAGCAAAGGCTCAGCCCTGGAACTTGTGCTCACATCTTCCTTCGTATCAGCGGGGCCGGACTGCACACCGAAGAGTTGAGCTGAGGCAGCCTCTCAGTAGCCCCCATCAAATGGGGGCCGAGATGTCCCAGTAAATCCAGGCTTGCTCCCAGCACAGGAGCCCCCCAGGAGCTGTTTCCTCTCGCCGCCCCTGAGGGCAGCTCTCCCATGGAGATGGGGTTAGGCATGGGGCAATAATCTGACCCCACCGAAGTCCTTGGGCATTTTGGCAGTGGCTGGCAAAAGCAGGATTTCCTCAAGCCCGCCCTGAAGTAACTTTGCATTGCTGCAGGTCTGTGGGTGGGGATGATCGTTTGCATCTCTTTGCAAGCCCTTTCCTTCTCAGCTGTTGTCATGCGCATGGATTGGAAGAAAGCTGCAGAAGAGGTAAGACTTGTGCTTCTCTCTAATAACTCTTGAAAGGTGTTAGGTGAGTTCCTGACCCAGTACAATGCCACAGCCCTCTGACAGGAGGCAAAAGTGAAATGGGATCTGTCCCTCTCCTGTAGCGGAGGAGCAATTTGATGCTGAGCATGCTTGCTTTGGGAGAGCGGAGGAAAAGGCTCAGCTTTGCTTGGCTGGGCAGGACACCCTCGCTCTGAGAAGAGCAACTCTTCTGTGTGTTTTTAGGCGCAAGTCCGAGCTGGACTGAAAAAACAACTGGAAGATGTGAACTCCAATGGCACAGCTGCTAACAAAACATCTGCCGTGGGTATGTAACCGGGCCGGACAACAGGGAGGGAGCCCGAATTCTTCACCTAATCCTTCCTTTCCTTCACAGTCATAGCGGCCGTGACCATCCCGCAGGCCTAGATGGCTGGAAAGAGCACAGTGCCTGATGCTGGTCCCAGGCCAGTGGCCCTTCTCCTGTACTTAGTAATGGAGTACAGGATACCCTGTTACCCTGTCACCACCCTGGCTGCTCCAGGGAAGAGCTTGGACTGCCAGCCAGTGTCTGCCTTACCTGGGAACGCCTGCCCCTTTGCTGTGGCATGTCCCACTGTCCCTGATCCTGGGGAAAGGACCCTCAGGATTGTCACTAGTGCTTCCCAGCATCAGGCTGGGCTCCCCTGACTTTGTGGCTTGGCTTCCCTCCAGCACTCGCCTTTCTGTTACACAGATTACATCTCTGTTGACACTGACACCGTGGTCCTGCCTGAGAGCATCGTGAGCAGTGAGAGGCAACCTGACGACCAGCTCATCACACTGGAGGAGCCAGCTGTCGTCCCTGTTCCTCCCGCTGTGGTATGGAGGGCTCTGATCATCCGCCGTGTGCTGGCCACTGCCACCGCTGTTGCTGTCCTGCTGGTGGGCATCCTCGTCCGGCTCCTGACCGGCAATGGCTAGAACCAGTGACACTGAGGAGTTGTGCACAGAGCAGGAGGACCCCTGGTAACGTCCCAGGAGGATGGTGCGGGGGAAGGAATTCCCCCTCATTTCCTTGTGAAGAGTCACTTTGCTCAGTTTCTGGTTAGCTTACAATGTTTTATCCCACATGCAGAGTTTTTAAAGGGGTTGAGGATGCGGCACCTGGGAAGAAAGTGCTTGAGAGCTGGTCCCTCTCCTGCACTGCACCGCGATGTCACTTGTCATGGGTGGGAGTGTATCCTGGGGCTGGCCTGGGAAGGAGACGGTGACCTTGTGCTGCTGTCCCCTGCTTCCTACTCCCTGGGGGCATTTGTCCATGTCGTTTTCTAATGGCAGAGGCTCTTGCTGCCCACAGCACATTTCCTCATGCCCCAGTCTGTGCCAGCATCTTGATGTGGCAGAGCCCACTCGCTACCGCTGCGGCAGCGCAGTGCCAGGCTGATGTTGTTGGCAGATGGCTGACTCCTCTGCTGCCGGGGCGTTGGGTGCTGGCCGCTGGCCCTGCTCTCCCTGCTGCGTGGCAGGCACATGGCCTAAAGCAACTCTTCTTTGCACTTTTGTAAGGTGGGATTTTGATACAATAAAGTTTTCTGAGTAAATGTTGGGCTGTTAAGGTGGTGTGAGCACGACCCCGGTCATTGGCACGACTAAGCTGTTAGAGGAGAGACGTGTGCCTGGTTTGTGCAGCATGATGGGCTCACGCAGGGCATACGCATAGCCTCAGCCTCCTGGCCCTGCAGTTTGGGGCTGGCTGTGGGTGCAGCGGCAGCCAGGGCCTTCTTTCAGCTGGGCTTACAGAGCACACTGCTCCTCTCGGGTACAAAAGCAGGGTTTGTGCACCTTGATTGCTTCCTGCGCCATGGCTGAGCTGCACGGGAGAGGGTGATGTGGTGCACAACCCCACAGAGCTGTCAAGGACCTGCTGTATGGCTTAATGCAAATGCCCCAGCATAGCCTGCCCACCCCTGCCCTCAGCACCGAGCCCCTCGAGACCTGTCCCAGGCTCTTACCTGCAGCTGTGACGGCAGGGAGGCCTCTGCCGTGGGGCACACGCTCAGCCGTTGGAGGTAAATACCACGTTCAGCCGGCGTGCGGCACTTCCCTGCCACCCTGTAACTCGCCTGGCACATGGTGCTGGTTGCCTGTGGGCTGGGAATGAAAAGATGTGACGTAAAGGAGCTTAAAACAGCCATCAACCCTCTGCCCAGATGTGGGGAGGATGTGGCAGACTGCCATCTGCAGAATCCTGGTAGTTTTGGGATGGGAGCCTGGCGAGAGGAGGAAGCCTGCCTTGCTCTGCCCTGTGGGTTACCCCAGCCCATCGGAGCCCACCGCCCACTCTGGGCAAGAGAGGGTCTGCATTGCGACGGCAGTTCCCTTCGGCTTCCCCTGTCCTGCACCAAGGCAGGATGCTATATTTGGCGCGGCGGAGCGGTGCCAGAGAAACCCGACGCTGCAGTGTTGTGCAAGGCCGACAGCTGGAGCCAATGGGGCCGGCTTGTTTTGGCCACCGCCACGCTGCGATGAGAGGGGCCGAGACGGGTAGTGGCCCCACCACTGTCGGCAGCAGCTCTCAGGAGACTTCACACAGACCCATGAATCCTCCATCGCTGCTGGAAGAGGAGGACAACCCTCCAGCCCACCGGTCGGCAGAGCTGCGGTGAAGCGGGAGAGAGGTATGAGGGCTCGCGGGAGCGATTCGGGAAGGCTCAGCCCCTACGCTGGCTCGGGGCAGGCAGCAAACACCTTGAACTGTACGTGCGGGCTCCTCTACACTGCCCAGGACCCTCACTGAGTCCCCCAGCTCCGTGCCCTGCCCTGACCCGCTGCCTGCACTTCCCATCACCGACCCAGCTGTCAGCAGCAGGGAGCATGCGGTCGGCTCGCCCGGCCCCGGCTGAAGTTCACCCCACCGTGGTTACACATTGCTCACCCTGGCAGGTTGGTTTTAACAGAGCACGGAGGAAGAGGGTTGTCTCACTCCCCTGGCAGAGCGGCAGCATGAAGCCGGCGAATCTCCCCGAGGAGAACAGCTTCAGTGAGGCGATGGCCGCTGGCCAGAACGATCTCACACCCGGCAGCTGCGGAAAGAAACGCCGCTGGCTCCGGCGCCTGGTCCCGGAGAACTTCTGGGAGGATGCGAAGAAGCTGCTGGTGCTGGCGGGGCCGTTGGTAAGGACCTCAGGAGGAGAGTACTCCACCCAGCGTGGCTGCCCCTGCTCACCTCCATCTCCAACTTCTGCCTCTCCTCTTCCCTGCACTTAGATCCTGATCCAGCTGCTGGTCTTCCTGATACACCTCGTCAGCTCCATATTCTGCGGCCACCTGGGCAAGGTCGAGCTGGCCTCCGTCACGCTGGCCATCGCTGTAAGCATTGCCGGGGGCTGCCCCAGTGTCGGGCACCAGCTCCCACCTGCTGACGCTGGGACGGGGTATGGGAACAGAGGTGGATGAGGGCAGAGGAGATTTCAGACTCCCACTTTTCCTTTTAGCCCCTCTCCCTACCTAAAAGTCTCAAATGCTCACAGTTTTTTAACTTCTCTTTCCAGGTTATAAATGTTACTGCCGTCTCTGTAGGTTATGGTTTGGCTTCAGCATGTGACACCTTGATATCACAGGTGGGTAAGAGATGCTGGCGCTTGGCCTGGAGACACGGGGTTTTCCAGCATCGGCTGATGCTGCCCAGGCACTGCATGGAGCCCTGGCTGCACCTGCGAGCTGGGGAAGCTTATCCGCAAGCAGCAATCCCATCACAGGGAGCTCCATGCTCCCCTTGAAATAACAAATCCTTCCCGGGCGGTCTTCAGGGCAGTCAGGGCTGCTCCATGCTCCCGCGGGGTCCCCGTTCCCCCAGCCCCAGTGTGCTGCCAGTGCAGCAGAGCTCACCGCCGTCCTCTCGCCTTGCAGACCTACGGCAGCAAGAACCTGCTGCGGGTGGGGGTGATCCTGCAGCGTGCCACCCTCATCCTCCTGCTCTGCTGCTTCCCCTGCTGCGCCATCCTCATCAACATCGAGCAGTTCCTGCTCCTCATCCGCCAGGACCCCGAGGTCTCCAGGTCGGGTGGTCCCATGGCCCAGATGCCCCTGCCTCATCCCTCCCCACCGTGGTGGGGCTGCGAGGAGGGTGGCTGCAGCCATGGCCCCTCGCTAACCGTGACTCTCGTGTCCCCCCAGGTTAACTCAGCGCTACGTGATGGCCTTTGTCCCTGCTCTCCCGGTGAGTCCCTGTGGGCACCCCAGATGCTGGGGACCAGCCATCCTGCTCCTGTGTTCCACCGCAGCAGCACGGCCCCTGCTCTGTGCTGGCCTCGTCTCATCCACCAATTTCCTTTTAAGGCGGTTTTTCTGTATAACCTGGAGACAAAATACCTGCAGAACCAGGTGGGTCCGGCAGCCCTCGCACCCCCAGAGGGTCAGACCTAGACCCAGCTTAGGGCTCCCTTCAACCACGCACCCAGGGTTTTCATCCTTGCCATTCCCGGTGGCGAGGCAGCGTTTGTCCCCACCACTGCCTGGGTGCCCCAGAGCAGCTCTGACCCCATGGAGAGCACCCAGTCCCACAGCCATTTCTATCCATCTGTCTGATGGACCTCCCTTCGTAGTTCCCCACATCAGGGATTTACCTCCAACGCACCCATTTTCCAAGCAGGCGACATCATCAGAAGTTTATTTTTTGGATGGGAAAGGTGCTGATCAAGGGGCTGGTGGAGACCTTCGCAACTCTCTCCCGAAGCTTTTGTGAAGGTGCCGTAGCCCCCATCTCCTCTCCTTTGCAGATGATCACCTGGCCGCTGGTGCTGAGCGGGATCGTTGGCAATGTCGTCAATGTGATTGCAAACTGTGTCTTCCTCTACGTGCTCCACTTGGGCATCGCGTGAGTAGCGCCCGTGTCCCATGGAGGGGAAAACACGAGACCTGGCACCAGCAAGGGACTTTTCAGGGATGTCAGCACCACCAGGCGTGGTTCAGCATCCGGCACTCGTGGGGGCACGGTGGGACGTTACGCTCTGGCACCCCGAGGCCGGGGAGGCGTGAGCAGGATGCTGATGACCTTTCTCATTTCCTTTGCAGGGGCTCTGCCTGGGCCAACACCGTTGCTCAGTACTCACAAACAATTTTCTTGCTCCTGTATATCATAGGCAAGAAACTCCACGTGAAGACCTGGGGAGGTAAGGGCATCTCCCCTGCTCCCTCCGGTTTCTGCTTTACACGAGCATTCATGACTCTTCCACCACTTCTATCAAGTGATTTCTGTTAGTCCTGACAGTGAAATATTAACCTCAGCCTGGTACACCCCGGGCACGCGGTGCTGCTTCGGTGGCAGCACATCATGTGCGAGCGTTGGCAGAGCACCGTGCCGGCCAGTAAACATTAATTCTGGAGAAATGAAACTTTCTGCTGAGGCTTTGTAGGGTTCAGCCCTAAAGCCGGATGAGCACAGACGTAAGCACAAAATTGTCCTTAGACACTCTGCTCCGGGAGGGATGAGCTGAGGATTGCACCGCTCCGTGGCCTACAGAACGGCATCAGCAGAGCGCATACGTGCACTCTCTGCTGCTGGAGGGCCTATGGAGCTGAGGAGCGTTGCCCTGGTAGCTCTGCAAACAGGAACGGCATCTCCAGCTGCCTCGGCTGCTCTCGAGGATGTAACACAGGGCCAGTCTGGTCATCCCTCGGGTGATGTTTCTCCTCTCTGCAGGCTGGTCCAGCGAGTGCCTGCAGGAGTGGGACAGCTTCACCTTCCTGGCTGTCCCCAGCATGCTCATGATATGCATCGAGTGGTGGACCTACGAAATCGGGAGCTTCTTGATAGGTCAGTGGAGAGGGGGAGCTGCGAGGAGGGGGACAGGGTCTGACCCAGAGCGACGTCTGCAGCAGTCGCAGGGGCCGAGAGCGGCTTTCCACCCAGCACCCCCACCCGGCGCTGACCCTCTCCTCTCCCCCAGGCCTGCTGAGCGTCGTAGAGCTCTCCGCCCAGTCCATCATCTACGAGGTGTCCGTTGTGGCTTTCATGGTAAGGGCTTGGGCTCATTATTTCAGACCAGGGCTCCCTAGGGACAGTCCTGGGACAGACACCCAGCAAAAACCAGCTCCAGCAAATCTCAGTCTTCCCCCTCTGCACTTAAGCCTCTCCCTGCTCCTACCTATCCCTCCTACGGAGAAGTTTTAAATTAAATCCTGAACTCTGTACCCGTCTCCGCTGGGCGGTTATTCCGCTGTCGCTGCGGTGGCCCCATTACCTGGACGCACTCATGAGCCTCAGCCCTGTGGTTACAGATCCCCCTGGGGCTGGGCACGGCCGCCAGCGTGCAGGTGGGGAACGCGCTGGGTGCCGGTGACATCGAGACGGCCAAGAGATCCTCCTCCACCAGCCTGCTCTGCACAGGTCAGGCCACCTGCGTGCCGGGAAGCCTTTGCCGGAGCTCCTTCCAGGCACCGCAGGAGCAGGGAGCACTTGCAGCTGTCTGCCCGTGGCACACGCCCGTGTCCCCTTCTCTCCCTTCGGCTGCTCCCAAACTCCCCGTCACGGCTGGGCTGGGCTCAGTGCTTTGCTCTGTTTTTTCAGGGGGGTTTTGCGTAGCCGTGGGGGCCATTTTAGCTGCCACGAAGGATGTGCTGGGATACATCTTCACCAGCGAGAAGTGAGTACCCCTGACTCCTGGCCTCGGTGCGTGGAGGTTGGTTCCCAAAAAGAGTCATTTTTTGTTCTGTGTTCCCAGGGAGATTGTTGACTTGGTGGCCTGGGTCATGCCTGTCTACGTTGTCTTCCACTTGTTTGAAGCCACGTGTGTAAGTCCCTGGGGATGTTGCTGTTTTCGGTAGGGGACCTCGGTGCTGAGAGGCAGCATCGCAGGTCAGTCGGTTGAGGGTCCCTCAGTCTGCGGGTGAGCACCGGCACACGCGGCGGGACCCTGCAGAGCTCCTGGGATCACCTCTTAGAAAACACCCAGCGTGTAAAAAGATGACACACAAAACCAGGCAGGGACACAGAAATAACTGGGCAGAGGCGAGGAGCTGGTTCATCACCAGGGTGGTTCACCAGCCCCCTAGGCAGTGGCAGAGCCCTGAATTTGGCTAAGGCAGCGCTTGGCCCCAGCCTCTCTCCCTCTCCCCGGCAGGGCACCTGCAGCGGGGTGCTCAGAGGCATAGGCAAGCAGAAATTCGGTGCCATCCTCAACGCTGTGAGCTACTACGGCGTGGGCCTGCCCCTGGGAGGTGTGCTGCTCTTCGTGGCCAGGATCGGCGTCATAGGTACCAACCCCTGGGTACACAGCCCTGCGCGCCCCCAAATCCCCCACGGTGGATGCAGCTTCCCCCAGCTACACCGATTGCTCACCGTGACCCTCCCGCCTGGCTTGGGAGTGGGCACACTGGGGTGGACTGGGATGGCCCCTGCAACTACTGAGAGCATTTAATTGTAGTGGGAAAAAGCAACTGCTGCCAGGTCTGCTGGGCAGCCCCGCAGCAGGTGCCCACGGCCACCCCATCCCCATGTCCCTGCTGACCTTGGTGACATCCCCTTTCTTGACTCGCTGTCCCAAGATGCCGTCTCGGTTGGGTTTTGCTCCAGCCTCAGCACCCAGCTGACACCGGCGTGCCCTCCGCAGGCCTGTGGCTCAGCATGCTCGTCTGCGTCTCCATCCTCTGCACCTGCTTCATCGCCTACATCATCCGCATGGACTGGAGGAAGGCAGCCGAGGAGGTAACCCACGCGCCCACAGCATTGTGCCCTGCCAGCGGGAAGGTCCTCAGTGCCTTGGCTGGGATCGCAGTGGGATGAGACGGCATCACAGGCTCGATCCCATGGGCCAGCGCTGTCCTCCAGTGCCCTCAGCAAAACCCAGTGCTCCCACGACCACATCCCTGTATTCAGCTCCCTCCCTCCCATGCACTCAACAGCCTCAAGGTTTCCCTCTGCGCCTTGTGCCGCCCTTGGCTGGGGACACGAAGCACAAAGCAGATGGGGTGATGGAGGCTACCTCAGCCCTGAGCATCACCTTGTGCCCCACCAGCTCTGGCGTTTCCCCCAGCCAGCACCTCCCATTTCAGGCTGCACAATGCCATTTCCAGCCAGATGAACCCCACGAGAGGCAACACGTAGGCTTTCCCTGGTGGGGATTTCCTGCACCACACGCTGCCGGCTAAACCCAGCACCTTCCCTCTTCCAGGCTCAGCACCGCGCGGGAGTGACCCAGCCACCAGCGGAAGAACCGAACCCGTGCCCCGATCCCTCCGGCAAGGCACTTCCCTCCAGTGTGGGGCCAGCCCCACCGCCCCACGCTTATCCCCCCGCCACGGCAGTGCGGGGGTGCGTAGGTATGGCCAGGAGCTGGGCACAGCGTGCGGCGGTGGGTTTAGGTCCAGGAAGGGTCCCTGAGGATGCACATAAGCCAGGAACAAGCCCACAAAATGGAGGTGCAGTGTAGTGCTGGTGATGCCCTCAGTTACTTGGCAAACAGTCGTTACAAGGGTGGGCTTGGGAGGGTGACGGAGGCTGGTGGGGGGCCGACCTGGAGGGACGGGGCGTCCTGGGCAGCTCTCACCTTGCAGACACCAGGTCCCACCGAAGCTCCGTCAAGGGCTGGAGATCTCCACGCTCTGGGCTGCTCGTAGTGTGCTTTCAGACTGCAGACAAAACCCTCCCAACAAACCCCTCAATCCCCCCAAGAGCCCTCAGCGATGCTGCCCCGTTCTCCTTGCAGCCGGAGTGGATGCGCAGAACGGCGTCGTGCTCACGGGCATCACCAGGATGGAGGGACTCACGTACCAGCTGGAGCCCCAGGAAAACACACCTGCCACATCCCCTCCGGCCACCACCATGACCACCAAGGAGCTGATCGTCTTTTTTCGGGGCGGGGTCGGTGTCCCGCCGCAGCCATCGCAGTACTTGCGCTTGGCATTGTCGTAAAGCTGATGACCAGCAAACACTGACTCGCACCACGGACTCTGCAGCCTTGGCTTTGGGGGCGAAAGCCCCTCCTGACGGATGGACGTACAAAGCACAGACCGGCCAGCGAGAGAATCCAGCACATGCCTGTCCCATGGGAGCCAAAGGGCCCCCGTCAGCATTTGGCAGCATCGCTTGGGAACGGGCCCTGCGGCTGCTCCAACACCCAAACCACTGCTCTGGGCTGCCTGGCACACACCGAGCGTGACGGTAACCCCCTCCAGCCTGCGCTGCCGGCTATCACCTGCCGACCGGAGCCGAGCACAGCCCGGCTCACACTGCTGCTCTGTGAAAAATGCCAAATAAAAAGAATAAACCCAGCTGGACTTGGGCTGGCTCCTTTGGGTGGAGGCTGATGGGAGAGCATCTGATGCTGGGGGCTGCAGCCGTGTGGGAGCCTGGGGCACGTGGGTCTTGCCTTGCCCTAGACGGCCTTCGCAGTAAAACAAAGGTTTTATTCAGCAAGGCTCAAGGTCAGCTTTCAGTTACAAGTTTAGAGGTAAAAGACTACTAGTAAACCAATAAAAAATTGAAATTCAGTTAGTTACAGATGAGATGGCTGGCTGCTCAGCCACTCTGGCCAAGGACTTCCCCAGACCTGGGACTCCGGTCACAGCACTGCCCCTGCCCTTGCCCCCAGCAGCCCCAAATGCAGCGCGCCAGCAGCGTGACAGTCCCTGGTGCTCCTCGGGGCAGAGCGTGGCCACAGCTGTCACCTCGGGTACCCTTTGCACACCTTGGATGGGTAAAGGTGGTTTCCCCTGCAATGAGACATCACCTGTTGGGTCACGAGTCCTTTCAAGGATGGGATCCTGCAGGTTCTTAGAGGCTGTTTCCCTCTGCTCTGGACAGGCTGCTGGGGACAACCAGCCTGGACTGTCCCCATCAGTTAGACCCGCATTTTGTTAAGCTTATTGCTGGTATGAGACAGCTTTCTATGGGGATCACGCGAGGCGTGACGTAGATAACACGCTCAGTAACAAACGGCTTTGTTTTGATACCTTTGTGACAAACGATTCCCCCCTTCCCAAGACCTTTTAGATGCGCTCCTGTTTGCAAAGCAGGGCAGATGCTGTCGCCTTCCATCTGCTGAGGCACAATGAACAGTGATTTCATTCAGCAGGAGCTGGAGCCTTCAGCCTGGGGCTTCTGTGCTTCAGGTGTGTCTCATTTGCTTCTACCTCTCCTGTATGTTGGCTGCCTTGGAAGAAACGAAATTGCAGCAAAAAAAAGTTCAGCACTAGGACTGCAGGGAGTGAGTGGGGGGTTACAAGTCCGGTGTGCTGCCGACCACCCCTCTCATCAGGGGAACACCACCTAGAAAGGCACAGACACAGGGCTGAGTCCCACAGGGAGGGAGCAGAGCCCGAGGCAACGGGGCGACGGAGGCTGAGACCAGGTGGGGCTCAGGGGCCAGAGCTGGGAGCGCACACTCATGCAGACAGCAGAGACCCAAAGCTTACCTTTACCACCACCGCTGCCACAATTCCCAGCAGGGCCAGGATGACCAGTCCCACTCGGCCCTTGTTAAATCGTTTCAAGAGGAAGAACTTAGCCCAATCCACCTTCTTCTGGCTGCTAGGTGGGTACCGCGGTTTGTTTGTACCCTCCATCTTCAGGTCCTTGATCAAGGAGGCACGGCGGTGGGAGAAGGTCTCAAAGCTGTGCTTGCCGTGGTAGGCGCCCATCCCGCACACCCTTCCCCTGACACGGCTCGGAGCGATCTCTCCTCCCACGAGAGGACAGCTGGCTCGGGCCCAGGGCTCTCGCTAGGTACAAGACGCCCTTTACCCAGAGACATCCTCGCGCTGTGAATATGCAAGCCCTGGACTGACGCATTCAGCCGGGGCAGCGACTCAGCCGCCCATGCGGGACTGCGAGAGACCACATGGCTTTGCCCACGTTGGGCAGACGAGGCCAGGGAAGCGCTTTCAATGTGCCACAGCAGCCAACAAACCCAGCCTGCGTTATCATCCGGATCTGAACAAACCCCCAAACGGGGCGCACCTGCAGGTGGGGGGCAATCAGGGGATGGATTTGCACAGGACGGGAGGACAAACAGTCCAGCTCCTCCACCGCTCCCACCACCACCTCACCCCATGCCCTGCCTGGCTCCGGGTGCCTCTTCGGCAGCCTGACTGCGCTCTCCTGCCAGAGCTCTGGGGGATCCTCCCCCACGAGCAGGAGGCCGTCGCGCTGGGGACCTGCGCTCCCACGCCGGGGCAGAGGCACCTCGCAACACACACGTGACGTTCGGCCGAGCCGTGTCCAGAGCTGGGAGCGGCAGAGGACAGGCAAGATTCCCCAGGAGAGTGCAGGGACTTACCACGCTTGGTTTATTATTTAAATTCTCAGTGTTTATTTAGTACTTGCAAAATATATCATTAAAAAGGCTTAGCGCATGGATTTTCACCACACATGAAGAAATCCCACCTATTGCACAGTAAATGTAATTTGCTACCTTATATTAATTGCATTTAATAATAATTTTTAAATCTACCTTGTTTAAACATTAGTATTTTTAAGGTACCTCCACCTCAAATTTCTCCAGCATCCTCTCCCCAGGCTAGATCAAGCTCTGTATTATCTCCCAGTGCAAGATTATAGCAGACCCAGAAGCTCAATCACAAAGGAGCACAGACTCTTTCAGTAATTGTTTTCCCTTAGAGGAATCTGACCAGGAACGGGTTTGTACTGGTTTTGGCTGCGTTGGGAGTTAATTTTCATCATAGTCACCAAGTTTCTTCACAGTAGGATGGTGCTGGGTTTTGGATTTGTGACCAAAACAGTGTTGGTAACAGCTGTTGCAGAACAGCTCTTGCACAGCTTCAAGGTCTCTCTGTTTCTCACGCCGGCCCGCCAGCACATAGGCTGGGGTCAGCAAGAAGCGGGGAGGACGGGGCTGTGCGC